TCTAGAGCTGGTTGAAGCACGGTCTGCTCTCTAGTGGCTTCTATTCTGCCTTGCTTACCGTGGAGTGCACTAATACCTATTGCTGTACATAGTGTATATAGTGTACATACTTCTGTCTAAGGGCAATGTGTGGTGTAAATATTATGCAGAAAATTCAGAGTGTGGAAATTAGGAAAAGGTGTGGAGTTAATAAAAGTATTAGTCAGAGGGCAGAAGAGGGGTTGTTGAGGTGGTTTGGTCATTTAGAGAGAATGGATCAAAGAAGAATGACATGGAATATATAAATCTATAGGGAAAGGAAGGCGGGGTAGGGGTCGTCCTCGAAAGGGTTGGAGAGAGGGGGTAAAGGAGGTTTTGTGGGCGGGGGGTTTGGACTTCCAGGAAGCGTGCGTGAGCGTGTTAGATAGGAATGAATGGAGACAAATGGTACTTGGGACCTGACGATCTGTTGGAGTGTGAGCAGGGTAATATTTAGTGAAGGGATTCAGGGAAACCGGTTATTTTCATATAGTCGGACTTGAGTCCTGGAAATGGGAAGTACAATGCCTGCACTTTAAATTAGGGGTTTGGGATATTGGTAGTTTGGAGGGATATGTTGTGTATCTTTATACATATATGCTTCTAAGCTGCTGCATTCTGAGCACCTCTGCAAAAACAGTGATAATGTGTGAGTGTGGTGAAAGTGTTGAATGATGATGATGAAAGTATTTTCTTTTTTGGGATTTAATTTCTTTTTTTGGGTCACCCTGCCTCGGTGGGAGATGGCCGACTTGTTGAAAAAAACAAAAAAAAAAAAACTTCTGTTCTAAATTGGTGAAGGGTAATATAAGTCAAAAGTTTTCTGCTGTGTTTATTTTGCTCCCTTTACACCCAGGATAACAGGCCATTTGGACTCCTGGGTTGTAATAATCTTTCACCCTAACATGCTGTTCACACACCTGATCACTTAGTTACCCACCACCCTCATGACTGCCCACACTACCAACTCACTCACCCAAACACCCATCATCCACACCACTGCTCACATTGGGCCACCAATACATCCACACCACTGCTCACATTGGGCCACCAATACATCTACACCTTCCACCCACACTGCCCCCACAACTTCAAGCCCACACAGTTCCACTCCCACAGCCCTACACCCAGACCTTACTCATGCTTTCATAACTCACGCACCCTAACATACCATCCACCATCCTCATTACTGCTTATGCCACCAACCAAATACTCATGTACCCAGTCACCCATCATCCACACCACCACCCACACCAGGTCAGTGACACTGCCACCTACATGGTCACCATCACACAACCTCATTGCTTCCAGTCTCCAACCCCAACCCCTCCACCACACAGCATCCTTCCCTTCCCTTCCCTTCCCTACCCAACCTTCAGCTCCTGCCCTCATATCTCCATTGCTCAGTCATTATCTCCCACACCAGCAATCCTCCTAATCCCCTGCCTCCAGTCCCCCACCATACACCAAACCCCCTTGCCTCAAACACTGTAACCTCCCCTTGCCTAACCCCTCAAGTATACACCCCAATCCCCACACCCCAATCATTCTAACTCTCCCTTTATAACCCCCATACAGTTGCAAAGGGTGGCAACTCCATCTAGCAGAGATGTGGATGCTGGAGTTTTGACTGATGCACATCACTACATTGACCTAGTTACATTATCATCATTGCTTTTTAAAATTTCAAGACCTAAAACAAACTGGGAAGCTTTTTTTGGCAGTCTGAAAATGTAACTGTCCTTTTTCCTATGGTCTTCAGTTCATTTTACACATTTTTTTTTTATTACACATCGTATTCAGGAGCATAACTACCACATAAACCTACAATCAACTATTTCAAGTTTTTATTCTCCACTTTTACTGCAATCACTTCCACCGTATCATTTGATGATTTTAGCAGATAGGTGCAGGTAAGTGAATCTTTCACATGAGCCTACTCCTTGATTCACTATACAGAACAATGATTCACTGTCAAGTACAGTACCATGATTTGCTATACAGTAGAACATAATGCTACACAATATGATTCACTATACATTACAATGATTCACTATATATTACCATGATTCACTATACAGTATAATGATTTGCTATATAATACAATGATTCACTATTATAGTACATTCATTAGCAGCAAATTTTTGCAACATAGTTCCTTTATAGTATGGGTTCTACAGTACTGTATGTGGATACATCTAATTCATGCTGGAAAAAAGTGGACAAGGTAGAAACAGTTTAAAGATGAGCTACGAAATGACTTCCAGAGTTAAAACTTATAAGACCTGAAGAAGAGATGAAGGCACTGGACATACCATCTTTGACTGATATGAGGAGAAAAGAATACATGATGCATATTTTACTACTACTACTTACAATTAGGTCACACACTACACATGTGTGTTTGGAAGTGTGTGTTTGGAAGTTAGGAGGAGGTGCGGGATTACCAAAACTGTTGTCCAGAGGGCTGAGGAAGGGTTGTTGAGGTGGTTCGGACATGTAGAGAGAATGGAGCGAAACAGAATGACTTCAAGAGTGTATCAGTCTGTAGTGGAAGGAAGGCGGGGTAGGGGTCGGCCTAGGAAGGGTTGGAGGGAGGGGGTAAAGGAGGTTTTGTGTGCGAGGGGCTTGGACTTCCAGCAGGCATGCGTGAGCGTGTTTGATAGGAGTGAATGGAGACAAATGGTTTTTAATACTTGACGTGCTGTTGGAGTGTGAGCAAAGTAACATTTATGAAGGGATTCAGGGAAACCGGCAGGCCGGACTTGAGTCCTGGAGATGGGAAGTACAGTGCCTGCACTCTGAAGGAGGGGTGTTAATGTTGCAGTTTAAAAACTGTAGTGTAAAGCACCCTTCTGGCAAGACAGTGATGGAGTGAATGATGGTGAAAGTTTTTCTTTTTCGGGCCACCCTGCCTTGGTGGGAATCGGCCGGTGTGATAATAAAAAAAAAAAATACTACACATGTATATACATGCATATATATGCAAAACAGCCACTGTGAAAGAATAGCAAAATTCCAACCACTTTTGTGACCTCTCACATTATCAAGGAACTATATGATATAGTTCCTTGATAATGTGAGGGGTCACGAAAGTGCTTGGAATTTCACTATTCTTTCACAGTGGTTGTTTTACATATTCTGAAATCACCTGTTTACTGTGATCTTATTTCATGCATATATATACACAACCATCTGGGTTTTCTTCTATTTTCTCAATAGTTCTTGTTCTTCTTTATTTCCTCTTATGGCCATGGGGGAGTGGAAAAGAATTCTTTCTCCGTAAGTCATGCATGTCATAAGAGGCGGCTAAAATGCCAGAAGCAAGGGGCTAGTAACCCCTTATCCTGCATATATTACTAAATTTAAAAGGAAAAAACTTTTGTTTCTCTTTTTAAGTCACCCTGCCTCAGTGGGGTACAGCCAGTTCATTGAAAAAAAAATAAATAAAAACCATATCCATATAAAGGTGTCCCTTGGTTTATATAGTAGATAGTGTTTGAAGCCAATAACAACTCAGTCGAGCAATCAACACTTGATTTTATATAATAAGAATCTTCAGTATGCTCTGCGAGATAGACTTATCACATTCAGAGAATGCATGCATGCTGCACATATGAAATTACAATACCATTAACCCTTAAACTGTCCAAACGTAGATCTATGTTGACGTGCATAGTGTTCTGAACGTAGATCTACATCCAATTTTACATGCTTTCAAATGGAGAAAATCAAGGTTCGAGCGCTACGCACATCAACATAGATCTACATTTGGACAGTTTAAGGGTTAAAAATGGACATCCCATAATAATGAATTCACATAAAGTAAACCTGTATGGAGCAACAGAAACCTGTACAGTGGAACCTCAGTATACGACCTTAATTCATTCCAGAAGGCTGTTCAAGTGCCGCTCTATATGAGTATTAAACAAGTTCTTCCCAACCAATTTTCTGTTTGGTTGGCTGTTATCACTGATCGTCGTAGGCCCCATGTGACTTATTTATACAATAAAAAAAAAAAGCGAAAAAACATGAAATAGTTTACAGTGAAGTTCTGGCAGGTTGTATTTGTTTGGTTGAGTGCTGAGCTTTGTTCGAGTAAGGAGCTGGTCGTATACCGAGTTTCCACTGCACAGTGGACCCCCAGATTTTGTCCAGTGAAGATATTGTACAATTTGGATTTTGATTGCTTTTTTTGGGCGAAATTTTACCCCAGGTTTTGTACCTCTGCTCAGAAATCGTTCATATAAAATGCGTCCGCCCGCCCGGGATGCGGCTGCTCAAACGTATGTGACTCAGTTTGCCTCTGTCACTGGTTCAGTGAGCAATACTCTGCACATTCATCCGAAACATTGGTGGTAGAGGGTGGTAGTGATGGTGGTAGAAGGTAGTTGTGGTTGTGATGGTGGTGGAGGGTGGTAGTGATGATGGTAGAGGGTGGTAGTGATGGTGGTAGAGGGTGGTAGTGATGGTGGTAGAGGGTGGTAGTGATGGTGGTAGAGGGTGGCAGTGATGGTGGTAGTGATGGCAAACAATCGAAGATGTTGAGAAGTTGCTGTTGGTGTGGATCAACAAAAAGCAGTTAGCTGGAGATAGTGTTGTGGAGGCAATAATTTGCAAAAAGGCATGGCAGTTGTATGCGGATCTCGTATAGAATATGACAAGAAGAGTCTTCAATAAAGGTAAAACTGATTTAAATGTTCATTTATCCATTAAAATTAGTGCTTTATATTTATTTCTCGCTGTTTTCTGTATGTAAAACTATAGTTATTCTCTATAAAATGTATTTTTTGTTAATATTTTTGGGTGCCTGGAACGGATTAATTGGATTTACATTATTTCTTATGGGAAATACTACTTCGGTTTTCGTCTATTTTGGATTTCGACCGACCTTCTGGAATGGATTAAGGATGAAAACCGGGGGTCCACTGTACAGTGTATCTTAATCCTCCCCCCATTCCAAGAATCTGCTGTTTACTCACCTTTTCCAATACAAGACATACTGCCCAAGAGTTAAAGCTGAATTTGGAGTAGCCTTTTTGCTAAGCAAAACACAGAAACAGTCAACACCTATTTCTCCTTCAGAAAGTACTGTATTCATAACCTGTGACTTTGCCTCTGTTCCAACTTGATTTACTTCATTAGCCTGAAAATTTTGTACATAGTGTTAATACATGTTTTATTTTATACTGTAGGATCATCCCGGATGTAACTTACGATATTTATTGTGTCATATAAATTGAATTTATTTTGCATTTCCAAAGTAAGTGATTTTATGGAAGTGAGTCCCAAAACTTGCAAGCCAGTGTGCTAACCACTGGATCATGCAGGCCTAACAAGATTCATCCAGCTTGGTATATTTCTATACAACATAACTGGATGAATCTTGTAAGGCTGGCATGGACCAGCAGTTAGTACACTGGCCTGTGAGTTTTTAGGACTAATTTGCCATGGGTTTAAGCCCTACCTATTGTATAATTTGTAACTTGACTCCCTGTGAAAAGAGCAACATGGGAGAACTGATGCTCTGAAGACTTTTCACTGGACTCAGGGATTCTATCCTTGTTGTAAATAACAAAAAAAGGCACAATACCATGACTGGAACGATACACAAATAACCCACACATAAAAGAGACTTTGTAAATGGTCCAAGTCGGACCGAAACGTCGTCATAAACTTCTCTCTTTTACGTGCGGGTTATTTGTGTATCCTTGTTATCTGCAAAGTCAACTAGAAGTTTGACAACTAAGTGTTGAGGATGACTACAATAATATTGTTAATGATTATAATTAAAAATAGTGCCTTCATAAAGTAAAAAGTACTAACCAGAGCCAGTGAGGAGTTGGTGAGTGTGATGGGGACATGTGATATGCACTTAATTTTGGGAACCACCAAGAAGCTCTCACCAGCAGCCACTCTTGCTAATTTTTCAAACTTTAATGACTGCGTCTCCACAGTGACCTAAATATAAGAATATTTTCAAAGTAATACATAAAATTGCTGTTTCAAAAACAATTAAGAATTTCTTTGTTATTCAAAATTTCTATCAGTATACCAGTCTGGCAGTTAATTAATAACAATCTCAGAGTAAGAAATATCAATAATAGCAAATGCTTAAAACAAATCAATACTTGGTTTATTTATTTGTCCTCTTTCCATTCTGTTTACAATTGGGAATGAAGTAAAGTGAAAATTAAGATCAATTATTTCCATGTTAGAGTAAAATAATTCATTACTTACATGCTACTGTAATACTTGTGACATGAAAGAATCATTACAGATATTTATTAAAAGATACTGCTGAAGCTAAAGTCAATGCCAATAAGAAAGACACAAATAATTAATTACATATGGCAATGTATATTTAAATTTATTATTCTTGTGCTTTTCCTCATATTCATTAATTCTTCTACATATAAAAAAAAGCTACACAGCTCTTCATGCATTAAGTGCACACATCAAGATGCACAAATGGAAAAATAAACACAAATGCAATATAATGTGATCCTTTACTGACAAAGTTTCACCCACACAGTGGACTTTATGAAGTCACAGTGTGGGTGAAACGTAGTTAATAAAGGATTGCATTATACTACACTTGTCTTTATTTTTCTGTTGTGTCGGTATTTTATACCACTTATCTCCTAGATGTATAAATACTGTACCTCGTACATCACTCCCCAAGTCACCTGGACAAATTAAAACATCTAAAAGTAAGGATATAGAGGCAAGAATAATTAGCTAGAAAGTAACAGGAGCTGATAATGAAGCTGGCCAAAACAAACACAATATCACAACTACTTCAATTTAGCTAATAATTTATATATCATAAGAGTTTCTTAGTTCCCTTAAATGCTGTCTTACAATTTTTTTTTTTTTCAACAAGTCGGCCGTCTCCCACCGAGGCAGGGTGACCCAAAGAGAAAATATTAGTTATATTACATACATTTATTTTTAAAGCAATACATTTTAAGGCATTTCATGTTTTAAAATTTATTACTACAATTAATGTACAAATTATTTTTTTTTAATGCACCAGCCAATTTCCCACAGAGGTAAGGTGACCCAAAAAAGGAAAATAACATTCACCATCACTAATGTCAGCACACTTCTAGTAAGACAGTGACAGAGTGAGTGATGGTAAGAGTCACCCTATGTCAGTGAGAAAGATAATTTGTAGTAATAAATTTTTCTGAACTGTCATATCTGCACACCTTTGGCAAGATAGGGTGAATGATGGTGAAAGTGTTTCTTTTTCAAATCACTCTGCCTCTGTAGGAGACAACCAGTGTCTTAAAAAAAAAAAATTAGGTTCGAGGGAATATCCTGGGTTATATAAATTTTCTTGTGTCCATATAACACCTGTGTGCCTTCCATACTATGTAAAACATATTTACAACAAAATCCTATATTACACGATATTACAACTGTTTTAAGGTGTAATACTCCTCAAAACATAAAAGTCACATTGTTTGACTTTAGTGAGTTATCCTGGGTTAAATATATTTAGTGTGCGTTATGGTCGAGTTCCATTGTTAGTACCGTGAAACTGTAATAAATTCAGAATGAATAAGTCATCTTACTGGCAGTTCTACACATCTGTTTGCTGGTACGGAAGCTGGTGATGGAAGAGCTCAAGATATTATTATTTGCCTATATTGTTGAAGGATAAGCTATGGCAGGAAAAGAGGGACTACAAATGTATAAATTCAAGGATTATGTGGAGTAAAATAAAGATTTGATGTGAAAAGTGGGTTATAGTAAGTATGTATGCACCTGGAGAAGAGAGAAGTGTAGAGGAGAGAGAGAGATTCTGGGAAATGTTGAGTGAATGCATGGGGAGTTTTGAATCAAGTGTGAGAGTAATGGTGGTTGGGGATTTCAATGCTAAAGTGGGTAAAAATGTTATGGAGGGAGTAGTAGGTAAATTTGGGGTGCCAGGGGTAAATGTAAATGGGGAGCCTTTAATTGAGCTATGTGTAGAAAGAAATTTGGTAATAAGTAATACATATTTTATGAAAAAGAGGATAAATAAATATACAAGGTATGATGTAGCACATAATGAAAGCAGTTTGTTAGATTATGTATTGGTGGATAAAAGGTTGATGGGTAGGCTCCAGGATATACATGTTTATAGAGGGGCAACTGATATATCAGATCATTATTTGTGTAGCTACAGTTAGAATAAGAGGTAGATGGAAAAGAGGAAGGTGGCAACAACAAGTAAGAGGAGGTGAAAGTGTAATAAACTAAGGGAGGAGGAAGTTCGGGTGAGATATAAGCGACTATTGGCAGAAAGGTGGGCTAGTGCAAAGATGAGTAGTGGGGGGGTTGAAGAGGTTGGAATAGTTTTTAAAATGCAATATTAGAATGTGGGGCAGAAGTTTGTGGTATTAGGAGTGTGGGTGAGAGTGGTGGAGAGAGGCAAAAGGAGAGCAGATGATTAGAGTGGGTGACGGCACTGTCAAGAAATTTTAATGTAAAATAAGAAAAATTTTTGGGAGTGAGTTAAACAAATTAAGAAAGCCTAGGGAAAAGTATGGGATTTGCAGTTAAAAACAGAGAGGGGAGTTAGTTAGATGGGGAGAGGGACGAACGAGGAGGTATTAGTAGAGGCGAGATATTTTGAGGAAACTTTTAAATGTTGGGAAGAAAGGGGAGGCCAGTCATTTCATGCACTGGCCAGGGAGGTATACCCATCTTTATGGAGTGAAGAAGAGCAGAATGTAAGTGTGGTGGAGGTTACGTGCGGCATTACGTATTTGAGGAAGGGGGTGTAAGCAGCCCTGGAACTGATGGGATCCTGACAAGAAATGTTCAATGCAGGGGGGGGACTATAGTGTTTTGAGAGGTTGGTACTTTTGTTTAATAAATGTATGAAAGAGGGGAAGGTACCTAGGGACTGTGGCAGAGGAGGCATGTTGTCCCTTTTTATAAAGGGAAAAGGGGACAAAAGAGATTGTAAACAATTATTAGAGGAATACGTTTACTGCGGTATACCAGGAAATGTATACAGTAGAGTACAATTGAAGGACTTAGAGGTAGACCGAATGTAGGATTGAGGATGAGCAGGGAGGCTTCATGAGTGGGTAGAGTGATGTGGTAGATCAAGTGTTAATTGAAGCATATATGTGGAACAGTATTTAGATAAAGGTTAGGGATGTTTTTATTGCATTTATGGCTTTAGAAAGGCCATATGATAGAGTGGAAGAGGAGCAATGTGGCAGAGTTGCAGTATATGGAATCGGTGGTAAGTTACTAAATGCTGTTAGAAGAGTTTTTATTAGGTTAGTGAGGCTCAGGTCTAGGGTTCTGTGGTTTGTGTAGAAAGAGGGGAGAGAGAACTACTTCTCGGTAAAAGTAGGTCCTTAGAAGGGATGTTGTATGTCACCATGTTGTTTTATATATTTTATAGATGGGGTTGTTAAAGAAGTAAATGCTTATGGGTGTTGGAGAGGGGGGTGGGGTTAAATTGGGAGTCAAAATTCAATAATGGGAATTGACAGACAGTTACTTTTTGTGATGATACCTGTGTTATGGGAGCGATTTAAGAAAAATGGCAAAGGTTAGTGGATGAGTTTTGGATGTGTTTTGTAAAGGTAGAGAAGTTGACAAGTGAACCTAGAAAAGGTAATGTGATGAGGGTATCAAATGATTTAGATCAGAAAAAATTTGATATCAAATTGGGGTGGAGGAGATATGGAAGAAGTGAATGTTTTTCAGATGACTTGGGAGTTGGACATGTCAGCCAGATGATTTATGAAGGATGAGGTTAAACATAGAATTGCTGAGTGAAGAAAAAGTGTGGTGGTGCTTTGAGGTATATGGAGAGTCAAAAAAACGTTATCTAGGAGGCAAAGAAGGGAATGTATGAAAGTATAGTAGACCAACCACTCTTATTGGATGTTGAAAGCTAGGGTGGTTAAATGCTGAGCGCGGAGCGGTTGGAGGCAGTGGAGAGAAGTCCTGTCTTAGGGCAATGTGTGGTGTAACATTATGCAGGAAAATTCGGAGTGTGGAAATTAGGAGAAGGTCTGGACGTTAATATATGCATTAGTCAGAGGGCAGAAGAGGGGTTGTGAGGGTGGTTTGGTCATTTAGTGAGAATGGATCAACAGTAGAATTGAGTGGAAAGCATATAAATCTATAGGGGAGGAAGGCGAGGAGGGGGGGTAGGGGTCGTCCTCGATAGGGTTGGAGAGAGGGGATAAAGGAGGTTTTGTGGGCGAGGGGCTTGGACTTCCAGCAATCGTGCGTGAGCGTGTTAGATAGGAGTGAATGGAGACAAATGGTACTTGGGACCTGACGATCTGTTGGAGTGTGAGCAGGGTAATATTTAGTGAAGGGATTCAGGGAAACCGGTTATTTTCATATAGTCAGACTTGAGTCCTGGAAATGGGAAGTACAATGCCTGCACTTTAAAGGAGGGGTTTGGGATATTGGCAGTTTGGAGGGATATGTTGTGTATCTTTATACGTATATGCTTCTAAACTGCTGTATTCTAAGCACCTCTGCAAAAACAGTGATAATGTGTGAGTGTGGTGAAAGTGTTGAATGATGATGAAAGTATTTTCTTTTTGGGGATTTTCTTTCTTTTTTGGGTCACCCTGCCTCGGTGGGAGACGGCCGACTTGTTGAAAAAAAAAAAATAAAAAATGTACGTACTGCATATAATTTAGTTTGATACCACCACCACAATGGTCACCAGTGCACATGTCCTTATGGAGCTACCCTCCCGGTGCAAGGAATTCTCGTGATTTCCTTACATTTCGTGCAGTTAATTCGCCAGATTTCTTTCTTCTAACCATGGGCCATAAGGAAGCAAGCGCAAAGGACAGTGCCAAGAAAAAAAAAAGAGGATGATTTTCATGGAATTAAAGTAAGAAATGATTAATAAGCACAGACTAGGCACGAGGGTTGATGACTTGGCGAGTTGAGTACAAGCATAGCCCCTTTACTGTATGTACCTATGGGTTTAGCGCTTCCTCATAATTATAATAATAATAATAATCTACTATATGTGCAATACTAAAGCAGGAGTCTATAAAGGCTATAGCACCAGCAAAGGGCGGTACAGTAATTGTTGACATGGTTGACGGAGAAACAGCTCACAAGAGATACGTAGTGTAGTGAGATAAACATAAAAATGTACATAGCAGTCCTTAAGAAAAGTGTGAACTCCTGACAGGATATGCCACCCTGCATTTCTTCTCCAAGAAATGTAAATGTCGTATGTACACCAGATCTAATTCAGTTAGCCTCACAATCTCCATTTTATCTTATAACACCTCTGACGTTTTCATAGCTAGAACGTTCGACCACAATCCTCCTCCCTCTGCTGTCCACATAATGACAT